CCTCCCAGAAAATTCTACCCCCGCCCCCGAAAATTTCAAGTACCCCCACCCCTCTCCGGGGAGGAAAAAGTCTGAAAGAAACACTGAAACCAACCCACCCCCCCACACACCACCCCCACCCCCCCCCCACACACACCACCCCCCACCCCCACCCCCCCACACCACCCCTCCCCACCCCTCCACCACCCCCCACCCCCAAAAAAAACATGTCTACCGTCCCATTCAACGAAATATAATTATAAACTTTTTCCAGTGTCCGCCCCCTCCCAGAAAATTCTACCCCCGCCCCCGAAAATTTCAAGTACCCCCACCCCTCTCCGGGGAGGAAAAAGTCTGAAAGAAACACTGAAACCAACCCACCCCCCACACACCACCCCCCACCCCCACCCCCCACCCCCACCCCCCACCCCCACACACCACACCCCCCCACACCCCCCCCCCCCCCACCCCTCCACCCCCCCCCCCCCCCCCCAAAAAAAAAACATGTCTACCGTCCCATTGCAAGAAAACCACTTTTTAGATTAGACACATTTATTAGGCGGTAATTTTATTATAGAGTATCGATGAGGAAATTTCTTTTGAGTTGGGGAGGGGGGGGGGGGGCTCAGACGTTCTTACGCGGGGGGTGGGGCTTCGCCCCTACCCGAAGAATTGTATGCAAGAAACTCTTCACGCAAACCATTTAGATTAGACAACATTTCCTTTTTTTCAATGTTTACTTACGCGAGAATCAATGACGTCATTACATTACTGTGTGCACTCTCTGGTTTGAGATTATGTTCTACTCTACGCTAAATGTGTCGACGTCATATTTCGTTTTTCGAATTACTGTGCATGTTTTTAAATTGCTTGTGTTTTCTCTAGAGCGTTCTTGTCAGACAGAGCGTTCTTGTCAGACAGAGCGTTCTTGTCAGATAGACAGACAGCGAAACTATTATTATAGACGAGAAAAATGGCCCGTTGAGGAAGGGTACAACGGGCGCTAGGCTGATAGTGCTGTCTCTTTTCTCTAAACTAAAACCAACCCACCCCCCCCCCACACACCACCCCCACCCACCCCCACACACCACCCCCACCCCCACCCCCAACACACACCACCCCCACCCCTCACCCCCACACACCACCCCCTCCACACACCGCCCCCCCACCCCCCACCCCCCCAAAAAAACATGTCTACCGTCCCATTCAACGAAATATAATTATATACTTTTTCCAGTGTCCGCCCCCTCCCAGAAAATTCTACCCCCGCCCCCGAAAATTTCAAGTACCCCCACCCCTCTCCGGGGAGGAAAAAGTCTGAAAGAAACACTGAAACCAACCCACCCCCCCACACACCACCCCCCACCCCCCCCACACACCACCCCCCATCCCCCCCCACCCCCCACCCCACACACCACCCCCCCCCCCACCCCCTCCACCACCCCCCACCCCCCAAAAAAAAACATGTCTACCGTCCCATTCAACGAAATATAATTATATACTTTTTCCAGTGTCCGCCCCCCTCCCAGAAAATTCTACCCCCGCCCCCCGAAAATTTCAAGTACCCCCACCCCTCTCCGGGGAGGAAAAAGTCTGAAAGAAACACTGAAACCAACCCACCCCCCCACACACCACCCCCCACCCCCCCTCCCCACCCCTACACACCACCCCCCCACCCCTCCACCCCCCCCCCCCCCCAACCCCCCCAAACAAAAAAATATCTACCGTCCCATTGCAAGAAAACCACTTTTTAGATTAGACACATTAATTAGGCTGTAATTTTATTATAGAGTATCGATGAGGAAATTTCTTTTGAGTTGGGGAGGGGGGGGGGGGCTCAGACGTTCTTACGCGGGGGGTGGGGCTTCGCCCCTACCCGAAGAATTGTATGCAAGAAACTCTTCACGCAAACCATTTAGATTAGACAACATTTCCTTTTTTTCAATGTTTACGCGATAATCAATGACGTCATATTACTGTGTGCACTCTCTGGTTTGAGATTATGTTCTACTCTACGCTAAATGTGTCGACGTCATATTTCGTTTTTCGAATTACTGTGCATGTTTTTAAATTGCTTGTGTTTTCTCTAGAGCGTTCTTGTCAGACAGAGCGTTCTTGTCAGACAGAGCGTTCTTGTCAGATAGACAGACAGCGAAACTATTATTATAGACGAGAAAAATGGCCCGTTGAGGAAGGATACACCGGGCGCTAGGCTGATAGTGCTGTCTCTTTTCTCTAAACTAAAACCACCCCCCACCCCCACACCCCCCACCCACCCCCCACCCCCACACACACCACCCCCCACCCCCCACCCCCACACACACCACCCCCCACCCCCACACACCCCACCCCCCACCCACCCACACACCCCCCCCACCCCCCACCCCCACACACACCACCCCACACCCCCACACACCCCACCCCCCACCCACCCACACACCCCCCCACACCCCCCACCCCCCCCCCTCTAAAAAACATGTCTACCGTCCCATTCAACGAAATATAATTATTTACTTTTTCCAGTGTCCGCCCCCTCCCCGAAAATTCTACCCCCGCCCCCGAAAATTTCAAGTACCCTCACCCCTCTCCGTGGAGGACAAAGTCTGAAAGAAACACTGGTGTCGCGCATAGCCACTACGCGAACAATTGCATTAAAGAAATTGCAAGAAAACCACTTTTTAGATGAGACACATTAATTAGGCGGTAATTTTATTATAGAGTATCGATGAGGAAATTTCTTTTGAGTTGGGGAGAGGGGGGGGGGGGGGGGGGCTCAGACGTTCTTACGCGGGGGTGGGGCTTCGCCCCTACCCGAAGAATTGTATGAAAGAAACTTCACGCAAACCACTTAGATTAGACCAAATTAGACCAAATCAATGACGTCATATCAATGTGTGCACTATCCGGCTTGAGATTATTTTCTACTCTGTGCGCTAAATGTGTCGACGTCATACTTCGTTTTTCGAAATACTATGCATGTTTTTATTTTCCTTGTGTTTTCTCTAGAGCGTTCTTGTCAGATAGATAGATAGACAGACAGCGAAACTATTAGTATTAACGAGAAAAATGGCCCGTTGAGGAAGAATACACCGGGCGCTAGGTTGATAGTGCTGTCTCTTTTCTCTAAACTAAAACCAACCCACCCCCCCACACACACACACCACACCCCCCCACACCCACCCCACACACCAGCCCCCCCCCACCCCACCCACCGCCACCCACCCCCACCCCACCCCCACCCCCCAAAAAACATGTCTACCGTCCCATTCAACGAAATATAATTATATACTTTTTCCAGTGTTCGCCCCCTCCCCGAAAATTTTACCCCCGCCCCCGAAAATTTCAAGTACCCCCCACCGCTCTCCGGGGAGGAAAAAGTCTGAAAGAAACACTGGTGTCGCGCTTAGCCACTACGCGAAGAATTGCATTAAAGAAATTGCGAGAAAACCACTTTTTAGATTAGACACATTAATTAGGCGGTAATTTTATTATAGAGTATCGATGAGGAAACCACCGCCCCACCCATCCCCCACTCACACCTCCCCCCCCCACTCCCCACCCCCACCCCCCCACTCCCAAAAAAAACATGTCTACCGTCCTATTCAACGAAATATAATTATATACTTTTTCCAGTGTCCGCCCCCCCTCCCCGAAAATTCTAACCCCGCCCTCGAAAATTTCAATTACCCCCACCCCTCTCCGGGGAGGAAAAAGTCTGAAAGAAACACTGGTGTCGCGCTTAGCCACTACCCGAAGAATTGCATTAAAGAAATTGCAAGAAAACCACTTTTTAGATTAGACACATTAATTAGGCGGTAATTTTATTATAGAGTATCGATGAAGAAATTTCTTTTGAGTTGGGGAGGGGGGGGGCTCATACGTTCTTACGCGGGGGGTGGGGCTTCGCCCCTACCCGAAGAATTGTATGCAAGAAATTCTTCACGCAAACCATTAAGATTAGACAACATTTCCTTTTTATTCAATGTTAACGCGAAAATCAATGACGTCATATAACTGTGAGCACTCTCTGGGTTTGAGATTATTTTCTACTCTGTGCGCTAAATGTGTCGACGTCATACTTCGTTTTTCGAATTACTGTGCATGTTTTTATTTTCCTTGTCTTTTCTCTAGAGCGTTCTTGTCAGACAGATAGATAGATAGATAGAGAGACAGCGAAACTATTATTATAGATGTTTTTTCTAATATACCGAAAAGTATGTTTTTATACCAACTCTGATTTTAAAAACTTTCATTATGCTGTAAAACTTTAGCATTTATGATGACGATAAATTAAATTCTAATTATAGACAAAAACATTTTGTAAACACGAATAGTGTTAAACAATTTCATTATATTCTAAAGAATTTATTTATTTGTTCTGACATTTATAATTAAATGTGTAGATATATACATATTTATATTAAGAGAGTGATTATTTCCCCTATTTCACTTGTCTTAAATAATTTCCCAGGAATTATTATGTAAGAAATTTTTTTACAAGAATTTCAAAACAGATTGTGTTACGTTCATTGTTTTTGGTTGTAGTGTGTGTATATTTTTTGTTGTTGTTTAGATTGATATAATTTTTGTTTTGTCGGCCTACTTTGTGTGTTTTTTCTTATTTCATCAGAGTGCTACTTTCAATTTATTTTACATCATAGCGAAGTAATGACATACAGCTAGTAATTATATATATATATATATATATATATATATATATATATATATATATATATATATATATATATATATTTCCTTCTGAGCTTGTTCAGCTGTGATGTGAGTTTCCTTTTTTCTGGCGCTTTTTGTTTTACATAGAGCTGTAATAAAGCTGTTGTCAAGGCGTCTTTTTTTGGCGTCCTTCACTGAGTCTTCGACTATGGTTTCCTTCTTTTGACAGCAATGCCATAGCATGCATGGCATGGGTCCAAAATTGAATTCTGCTATCGTAGTAAGGTAGATAACAAAGATTTTAAGAACACATTCGCAGTAACTACCCTTTTCTACGCTCTTCTGTTACAGAATCCAATATATGAATTAATGGCCGACCATTGTTTTCAATTGAGGAAAAAATCTGCTGTTGATTTAGAAAGCATGAGCAACTATTCATAGATCTTGATTTAACTCTATTTAAAAAAAGAGAGAGAATGGAAGAACAGGGGTGTCCACGGTGTAAAACGACAAAATACAGAAACCCTTCACTTAAGTTGATGGTTAATATTTGCGGCCATTCTTTGTACGGACAAAGTTTCATTTTTATTTTTTATTTCATTGTTTTAGTTCTTTTTTTTTTTTAAGCATACAAAACAAAATTTTGAAAATTAGTTAAAAATTTCTTTAATTTGTATAATCAGACATGTTTTAAGACCCCCACAACATTAAACTTTTTAAAAACTATAACCTAGAATCTAAACTTAAGATCAGAACTAGAGTAAAGTTCCACAGCCTATCTCTGCCGATTTTCATCAGGCGAAAATACTGTATTATTCAGCTGCCATTCTACTGTAATATATACGAGTCATTTTGTATTCCTACGCATAGTATTTGAGATATTCATGTTTTAGTGACGAACATCTTTGCGATATTTTTTCCCCTGCGGCCACCTGCACCGGCTAGCGTAATGATCGTATTTTATATGTTTTAATCCAATTTTAATAACTAAAATACATATTTTACACTTTTAAGGGTGTTGATTGTATTATTAATTAATAGATTGCAAAACCAAATAAAAAACACTTCAATTAAATTTATTAACTGCACATCACGGATACCCAGTGATGACTCAAGGGATGCAATTATAATAATCATAACACAAGGGACGTAACAATCACTAACAAGACAAGACCCTAGCATTTGCTTAGACATGCTTGTATGTAGAGACATAAACTAGATCTAGTTCTAGAAGAAGTAGATGATCGAAATAATTTAAAACAACAGAAAAATGTATAAACTATACAGATTCTAGACTTAGCTTGAAATATAGAGCATCTAGATCTAGGCTAGTCTAGCTAAAGTCGTTGGTGACGCAGCGAGGTGAAACCACCCTAATCGTTACCCAAGCTGCGGCCACCCCCATTTCACCTCTCAGGTTGCTTCAATAGCCTTAGCTATACTATTTACAGGGCTCCGCATATGTGTATAAGCTATTTATAGTTAACCTAGTTATAAAAAGCTTTGATTGGTTGGTTTTAATCGTCTCATCCCGGACCTAGTTTTTTCCATTCGGGGGAACTCGGATCACCGGCTGACGTCATACCTAAACTTTAAAAACTTGTCTTCCAGAAGGAGAAAACAAACTTTCAATTTGCACCCCCCCCCCCCTTCCTCAAACTTTCTATTTGCACCCCCCCCCCCCCCCCTCAAACTCTTTCAATTTGTTTTTCCAACCCATTTTGGCGCCCCCTAAGGTTGGCGCCCGGGGACATGCCCCCCTCCCTCGCTACGCCTCTGCCAGCCTGGCCTCTGCAAACCAGCAGGCTTGTTGCATTGATTTAAATATAAACTCAAAACTATAATTTCTACAATTGATTTTGGCATCCGAAATTTCCTCAAGCAACTATCAAATAATCATTAGTACTAGGCCTATTGAATTTCAAACAATAAATAAATAGATCTAGATCTATTAGGTTGAAACTTAAAAACCCGCCAGGTTTAAAATTACTAATTATAATTTATGAAGTAGTGTAAAAACTCAGCAAATAGCTTGGTTTATCAAAATAGAATCAGATAGACTGAGTTCTCATTAATGTTTCTACAAACATTTTGTTATCGCTTTCTAAAAAAAAAAATCCAAGGCACAGTTTTTATTTCTCTCTTTTTCTAAATATCATTGCAATCATTTCACAAATGAAAAGAAAAAATATATTACACCTTTAGGTGTGTTGTAAAAAAAAATAAGTCACTCTTTTTAATGGGCACATTTCTTAATAGTGGAGGATATCCCATGTATCCTAACCCAGGATTTACATATTGACAGTCATCAACTATTCCATCCAACCACACTGTACATGTCACTCGATATTGATAGCAATTCTGACTGGGAATAGGAAGGCCTATGGGTTATTCCCAGCTGACTGGAAAAAATTTTAGTTTATAGTCCAGACTTCAAGGTAAAGTTAAGGATTGACCTAATATTATAGCAAATCCTTAATAAATTTCAAATTAAATTAATTCCTTATTTAAACCATTCCATTGCATTGCTAACATATCCATTATAAGTTAATCCAAATTTAAGGTCCAAGGAACTGAAATAATTGAGTTTAAAATAAATAATTTGACAAAAATGTGAAAAATGACTGGCAGTCATCAGTTTTTATTAAGCCTTTAGAGTACTGACAGTGTTTGGCTTCATAGAGATATAATAAACTAGCTTATACCTGTGCTTTGCCACCCTAACAAAATTGACACAACAGTCTAACAATGTCCACAAGGTGTACTGTAAACCGCAGACAAACGTTTTCTCAGGCATCCATGGCCATAGACAGCCCTCCTCATGCATGAAATGCTCGACTCACACCACCCCAGCAACGTTGACAAAGTGGCTATTTTGAACGTTGACTAGTCCAATAGAATCTAGTTATGTAAGTGGTAATGATTTGATTTAGACAAACACTTTGCCTTTCTCCCCAGATGTGAGAACTGTGTTGAGCTTTTGTTCGTGAAGGGTTCAGGCTCATGTCCTGATTGTGGTACAGCTCTGAGAAGACAAAACTTCCGGCTACAGATATTTGAAGATGCCATTGTGGAAAAGGAAATAGATATCAGAAAAAGGATTCTGAGAGAGTATGTAGTTCTATAGTTGAGAAAAGGTCAATTTATGCTAAATGTTCACTTTATGTTGCTGTTCAATTTTATTTTTCAGTATCTTAAAAATGTCCCTTTTTGACTGCACATATAAAGTCTAAAATGTGTACTTTATTTTGTTCCTGCTTTCTGGTGACAGGGCTTATTATACATGGATTTATAAAGCACTTCACTTTTGTATGTTAATTATATATTCCATTTTATTCAAAATTCATCTTTTATAATGTATATAAACTTAATGCAATCAAGTATAAGCTATTGTGTTGTTTTTCAGTTTTAATAAAAAGGAAGAAGATTTTCTCAACTTGAAGGAATATAATGATTACCTAGAGATGATAGAAACAATAGGTACTGTGCACCTTAACACTGTTTTATTTTACTGCTAGCCATACAACTGATACTTGACAATAGGTAACATACACCTTTAACATTCATTCTAGGTGCTTCATTTTACTGCTAGCCATAGAACATACTTTTAAGGGCTACAGGACATTACCCCCCTGGATATTTCCCCCCGGACATTTCCCCCCCCCCCCGTATTTACCCCCCGGAGCAATTACCCCCCTGTCAATTACCCCCCTGTCAATTACCCCCCGGGGAATTACCCCCCCCCCCCTCTCAAGTCAAAATCCTAACTAGAATTTTATACCTATATACTACTTTAATCCAAACCTTAAGAAAAAGACCAAAACCTAAGCATCCACCTTAGCCTGAAACTTCACACAAAACCAAAACCAAAGCTAGACACAACCCTAACCCTAACACTAGCTCTAACCCTAACCCTAGCCCTAAACCTAACCCTAATCTTAACCCTAACCCTAGCCCTAAACCTAGCCCTAATCCTAATCCTAGCCCTAACCCTAGCCCTAAACCTAACCCTAAACCTAGCCCTAACCCTGTCCGGGGGGGGGGGGGTAATGTCCTACTGGCCGGGGGGGGGGGGGGGGGGGGGGGGTAATTGACAGGGGGGTAATGTCGGGGGGGAAATATCCGGGGGGTAATTGACAGGGGGAAATGCCCGGGGGGGGGGGGGGGGGGGTAATGTCCTACTGGCCGGGGGGGGGGGGTAATTGACAGGGGGGTAATGTCGGGGGGGAAATATCCGGGGGGTAATTGACAGGGGGAAATGCCCTGTTCCCCTTTTAAGTCTGGTGTAACTCTTTGTGTTTTTTTGTACTTCAACAGTCAAAGTATGAGTCAATGAAGCATTTATGTGGTTTTATTGTGTGAAAATTTAGCTTTACAACTGCTACATTGATAGTGGATTTAAAATATCTTTTAAATGTCATTGGATGATATTTGCTTTCAGTTTATAACCTCAGCAACCATCAGGATGTTGATGCCACAAAGAGAATGATAGAACAATACAAGAAAGAGAACAAAGACCAAATCAGGAAAAACCAGTCTAAACTAGTAATATATTTTTTTACCCTAGTTGGTTTGCCTGTTCTGCAAACCCAGGCATGGTAGATTTGAATTTTCTCCCTTAGAAAATTGTTTCATGCACATCACCAAGATTCAGATACCAGTTTTATCCTTTTGCCTGCTGTTATTTATCAATACTATCATAGTAGTATTAGTAGTATTGGTCGTGTCTCGATTCTATTCTAATGAAAGTTGTTAATATAAAAAGGCAATGAAAATAGTGTTTACTTTCTATTTCACAGAGTAAAGATGAGGAGTACCTTGAAGCTCTGATTGAAAAAGAGCAGCACGATGCCACTGTGAGAAAGATAATGAGTGTGGAGGATGAGAAGAGAGAGAAGGCAGCTAAAAGAAAACACAAGGAAGCTTTGATTGATGATCTTGTAAGTTCTTTCCCTTGGCCTATCTTTCTTGTTTCTACTCTACCATAAATTGTATAATTCAGCTGAAAAATGAGTAACTGTAACCTTTATTTTATGCCAATAAAAAAATGATTCTAGCTTATGCTTCATCAATTTGGGCAATAGCAAAGTAAAAAAATGTATCCCAATTGTCCATGCAGTAAATTCTTTACTGATATATTTTACAATATGACTAAATAGTCTTTATCATGAATTTGTGGGTTATTTTCAGATGTTCTCCGACATGCCAGCCCATCTAATCATCAACACACACAGGGAAACCACTCAACATGAGGAAACAGAAGCAAAAATAGCTGCTGCTACAGCATTTTCTACAGGAATTAAAATTGTGAGTCATCCCCCTTGTTTACATAATTGATGTTTGAATACTGTGTACTAGAACCATAGAAAGATTTTAATTGTAAGCAAAATAGGATAAAATATTGTGCACTTGAGACAAGTTACCATCAGACTGATAATATTTTACACACTAAGTGTTGACCTTTATAACCATCACCACAATAGGCATGAAAAGTCTATGTAATTATAGTACATTTCTGAAAAAATATTTTTAAAAATATGGCAAGCACCTTATGTCACAAATATTAATCATGTCACAGATACTCCTTGTCAAATACTTCCCATGTAACCAAACATTTTCCTCTTGAACTTTTAGGGACATCAGAACGAGATAATTCCTTTAGTCAAGCAAGACCAAGGACAGTTGTACAGATATTGTCCAAACATAATGGACTGGTGCGGACCTGAGCCACCAACCATGGACGAGCTTTACACTGATGGGTATGTGTTTACAACTTGAAACCAATAGCAACAACAAATCTGCTTGCATGGCAACAGGGGGTTAGTCCTAGTGAAAGTGGGAACTGATAAGATATCAATTTTGGGATTTTAGTTATTTCTAATTTTTTATTTGTGTATGCATACACGTTTGTGTGGAAGTTTTTAAAAATCTAATTTTACAGTAATATTCTTTGAAAAGTAACAAACTTATAAGAATGGTAAAAAGGTGCTGGTTTTAAATTTATCAGAATGAGATTTTGGGTCATTTTTATAAAAAAAAAACTATCATTACTCAGGCATCATTGGCCAGATTCATAAAGAAATGTTGAAGTCATGTATTGGCCACATTAACTCATTTGCTACAAATACCAACTCCATTACTGCCATTTACCCATCATGTTTCTATCATTTTATTATCATCTTAAAGGGCTTCTATGCTATTTGTGCTTAATAAATATAGTACAAGAATGCATACAAAAATTTTCCCAAAAAAAACCTGGTTTCCAGCTTTTTTATCACTATTTTATTCCAAGTAATTTGTAGAAAATTTTTACGCAAGGTTGTTTTCATTATACATTACAAGAATCAGATACAGGATCTCTAGATATTTTAATTATTAGTAATGTTACTGAAGCACTCCATGGTGAATTCGAACCACATACTTGCATCATTAAATTAGCTCTAAATAATAAATACTGCTAGAAAACATAAAATATATATGTTCTTTGAGTTAAAACTTTTTTTATATTTTAATAATTACATTTTGTGGCTTTTTAATAAGTAGGCAAAACAATTCTTTTAAAAATAAATTCAAACAAAAGTTGTTATGGGTTGTCTCCCTTAGTTTAGGATCTTAGCAAAAAGTTGAACATTGAAGTTATAAATAACTTGAATACAGATGTGAAGTGTAGATTGTCGCAAATGTACTATTTTAACCATTCTATGGGCTTTGTGACATTATAATCAACAAAAGTTGTGCTTGATGTTATGACCAACATATGCCCTTAGGTGTTTTAACCAGCAGCATATGTTTTCATGTTTAAATCCATAATATAGGCTTCCTCCCTAGTTAGATGTGAACAAAATTACCTTTTTTAACAAAACCCTCATTCATCCATGGTTAAGCATGTATAACAAAAAAAAACTTTTTTCTGTACAGGTAGATGTTTAATAAATTAAAAACCCACCCTCCTCCCTCCCCAGCTACCTCAAGAACATCAGGTCAGCCAGTGATGCCGAGAGAGCTGGAGGATTCCGTGAGGCCCTAGCCTGCCACAGAGCCCTGCAGGATGCCTTGTGTGGGCTCTACAGCTTCCCTACTGTACCTTCTCCATCCAAGAAGCTGGCCCTGGGGTCTGCTGCCTCACACCCCCTCCCCATGGTGACATCCTGACAGCACGCTGTGTGTTAGAGCAACTGATCTGATGGGTAGAACCAGTCCAGCTTGGCCCCTCCCACCCAAGGATGTAACCACAGCATCAATCTAGTGTCAAACCAACATGGAGGAAATCTTTTGAGGAAGATCACAGAATAGTCTAAGCCAAGACTAGATATACTGATGGTCTTCTGTAAAATGACTATCTTTCCCACATAATTCTTCTATATGTATAGCATATCTGACATGTTTTCACAAGATCATGTCGAAATTGTACATAGGTCCAGTAGAAAAAAATTCAGCAAATGATTTGTATTTTTTGTTAGCATAAAATAAAAATGTGTTGATATAATTGAAGTTTTTTTTTAGTGTTCAATGAATGTCAGTATGCTTTTACAGGTCAGAAGTCATGAAGGTCAGTGGGTTATAAGTTCAAAACTTTGTAAAACCAGACTAATGGAGTGGAACATTAAAAACCAGACTATTGGTGTGGAACATTAAAAACCAGACAAATGTAGTGGAACTGTAAAAATCAGACAATCGTTGATGATAAATGTTTTATTTTAAGCATTGCACAGCCACAGATGAGACAACAATTATCATTGGATACTACAGACAACAAGCAATGTTTATCAACCAATAGTAACACAGGATCCTGGCTTTAACACAATAGACTACACAATACCCAATTGTACCAAACTACTTTTTGTAGCTTACATGGTAACCAATAAAAGAAATCCATTTGTACAGTAAAACTTTGTTCAATAGATGCAAGAATAACAAGTAAATGTAAAGAATTACTACACTAATTGTTCAAAATAAATCCTACATACAGTTAATAGAGCCTGTCTTATTTTTCATTTATTGAGAGAGAAAAAATTATTTAACTTTGGTTTCTACTGCTAATGTTACAAATGATTTATTAATTGTAAAGGTAATCTCAGCTTTGTGATACATAAACTATTTAATCTGTAATGTTTTGATCTACTGGCTGAAGATTTCAGCTGTTTACCCCAAACTACTAGAAATACAACAAAAATTTAAACAAGACGACAATGCTACATGGGTAGCAGTTTTAATAAGATAACATTGCTAGATGGGTAGCAGTTTAAACAAAACAAGACTGCTACATGGGTAGCAGAGTAAACAAGATAACAATGCTACATGGGTAGCAGTTAAGTACAGCGTCACAAAATATAACCTTTGGTGTACTTTTGAATTGTTGTATGCATTAACTCCATAGTATTTTTTGTGTTGAAAAACAATACAACAATTAGCAATTTGAATAGATAACAAACTAATTACCACATCATTATATATATTTACAAGAAAAGAAATTTTCTACATGAAATTTTTGGTAAAGAAATCACATAACCTACACACAGAATTAACTTTTACTGGACCATTAATTTTTTTTTCCTCAGCCTACAAAAAATAACCACCAGAAAACCACATTGGGAAAGGTTAGAAACTACACAGATATTTAGTAAACAAACCTGGCAAAAATTCCTTCAAATTTACAAATCAACTAGATTTTAAAATCATAAAAATACCCAAAAATATTTTTATTAGTTTGTTAAAGCATGAAAATGTCATTAAAATACTACAGAAAAGACCTCTACATATTGTATTTTATGTTAAATTCATAATCTCCCAAAAAATTTCTATAAATGTTGAGGCATTTGGTAATTCTCAATAAATTAGCATTATTTACCTCAACAATTTGTGTTCATTAAAAACTTTTAAATAAAAGTTTTGAAAAAAAATAATATCAAAAGAAAGGCTGCCAAACTTTTACATTCAAATTTAAAATATACATAAATCAGTTTGCTCAAAAACAACCAAGAATCGTAAAGTACATGAAACAAATTGCAGGAGTTGGAATATAATAAAGTATTAACACTCACAACAAACACGATTTTACTTTAAGTGTGGTAACAATCTTTTTTTTTCTTTTAACTTTATGGTTTAAGTTTTTTTTAAAACTAGACATATACTACATTACTGTTGAAACTCATGGGTTACAATCATTTTTAAATAATTCCATGCTAATTTAAAACTTCAGTTGAAAATTTCTTTTTATATTTTAAAACTAGCAAAAAAAAGTTAGCCTATTCTAATGAAAAAAAAATCTCAAAAATCTCTCACTAAAGAAAAAATAATGCGGGTTTAATGTTTTAGCAAGAGGAAAAAACAGCAATGCACCATACTTTGAACTATTACAATACAATTATTTAAATTATGTTGGAAATTTCCCTGGAAGTTAGAGACTAGTCTCCCTTGAGTTGAAGGTCAAGTATTTGTTCCTTCCCTTGAGTTGTTCTCTGGTTGCTGTCCCTTTACTGCTCTTCTTCTGTTACTGGTGTTTGAACGTCTTGCTGGTAACTATGAAACTCTCCAGATTTAATGCTTTGTGTATCATCGATCTGAAGATTTCAATTTTCATATTAACAGGATTTTTAAATAGCTTTTATCACTTTTTTTAAATACACATCTTATCTTAATAAATTTCCATGTGTTTATTTAAAAACGAGTTTCAAATATTGTGATAGGCAGGTGTTTTTATGTCATAGTTTGATCAGCTGAGAAACATTTTCTGCTGTTTGATAACACTTTTGGGGGGAAAACTTTACAAGTTCTGTGTGATTTAAATTGTTATCCAAGTTAGGTAGGGGGGGGGGGGGAAGATTAATAATTCTTGGCTGGTTTGATACCAGACCAAGCGGTGCACCAAACCTTAAACCATCCTGTTTGCTACAAACCACATATATGTAGTGAATAACATACAGAACAACAGGCACCAGCATTATATCAAATCTTAATAAACAACATTAACACTGAATCAAAGATAATAACTTTTTCATCTATTTATATGTAGACATACAAATGGAGTCGTCTACCAACCTGCTTGGTATATTTGTTGCTGTTTCCAGTCTCAGCAGGCTTGAGTCTAGTGTTCTCCTCATCGGATCGATTCATTTCGTCATTCTTTAAGTAGAAGTGGTAGCCGAGATTCAGCTCCGGGATGTCATAGAAGACGGTAATTAACAGAAGTAACATGGTGATGCCAATTAAAAGATAAACTGAGGAAAAAATGTAAACAAAAAATTTTCTAATATTCTAATAAGGTTAAGATAAAACTTTCAGTCAGCTGATGAAATGGAAGGCAGTTAGATTCAAATTAACTCAAACTTAACAAAAACCTGGCAGTAATACATTTCTTGTAAAAACAAAGTGAAATTATTTAACAAGAGATATCAATTAAATTTTAATTAAGTATATTCTTATAAGACTGTTAATCAACAATCTAATCAACAAAATTTACATACTCAGAATCAATATTCATATGATCAAAACAATTGACATACACGCCAGATAGGAAAAACACTAGACTGGTGTTAACAAAGAGAAAAAGATAGCTCATCATTTGATTAACTTTGTTTTTCAACTGTAAATATCATGGGCTGATGACACTTCTGCCAGCTCAGCATAAATCTGAAAGTCTGGGAACTGCTAAATTTTTGGGTAATTTGAGTATTTTTTTTATGTTATGTGGGCCTGTAGATTCTGTTTATGTAACATTGTGACAGGTTTATGTATCATAACATGGACTTATTAACTTCAGGACAAATGGTGTAACATTGGGGCAATTTCTTTTTAACTTTGTGGGTTGATATAACAGGAAAAGCCAGTTTTATGGAATATAACTTTATAATAATAATGTTATAATTTTATAACAGTTTTAAGTAATAATATAATAGTAAAATAATTTTAAAAGACATAAAAAAAAGAAACCTAGAAAACATTCAGCACTTTTACACAATTTAATTTTCAGCACAAACAATCTTTTCAAACCAGCTGTCACATCTAGATATATTAAAAAATCAATTTTTGTGTGTGAAGGAAAAATCAATACATATATGTGGAGGAAAGAGATCAGCTTCACAAAAATGTATACGAAAATTGAATGATTTGAGGCAGTGAATTCTAGAAAGGATTTTTTTTTAAACAATGTATGTCAGCCACATGTAAAAACAAAGTATGTAAAAATGTAGAAACTAGACGGACACAACCACTTACTCTACAAAAACCTAGTATGTTGCAGCTACTCTAGTAAAGACTTACATGTTGTAACTACTCTACAAAAGACTTACATGTGGTAGCTACTCTACAAAAGACTTACATGTGGTAGCTACTTTGTACAAAGCTCTATGGGGCTGGTCTGAGTTGTCACCTGTGAATAAAACATGAGTGATGAAACAACCAAAGTCTACCCTAAAATAATCATGAAATTTGTTGTCCACTTTCACACAGTTTAGCTTTTAATCATTGTTCATCAATTATGTGATTAGCTAGCTGTTGGGTCATTAGCTAGCTGTAAGGTCACTGGTCAGCTGTTTGGCCATTAGCTAGCTTTAAGGTCACTGGTCAGCTGTTAGGTCACTGTTGTTATGATGTAAGCTGTAAGGGCGCCTACCTGGAATGTAATCACCTAAGCCTATGGTAGAGAGTGATATGAAGCAGCACCTACCTGGAATGTAATCACCTAAGCCTATGGTAGAGAGTGATATGAAGCAGCACCTACCTGGAATTTAATAACCTAAGCCTATGGTAGAGAGTGATATGAAGCAGTACGTACCTGGAATGTAATCACCTAAGCCTATGGTAGAGAGTGATATGAAGCAGCACCTACCTGGAATGTAATCACCTAAGCCTTAGGTAGACAGTGATATGAAGCAGCACCTACCTGGAATGTAATCACCTAAGCCTATGGTAGACAGTGATATGAAGCAGCACCTACCAGGAATGTAATCACCTAAGCCTATGGTAGACAGTGATATGAAGCAGCACATACCTGGAATGTAATCACCTAAGCCTATGGTAGAGAGTGATATGAAGCAGCACCTACCAGGAATGTAATCACCTAAGCCTATGGTAGAGAGTGATATGAAGCAGCACGTACCTGGAATGTAATCACCTAAGCCTATGGTAGAGAGTGATATGAAGCAGCACCTACCTGGAATGTAATCACCTAAGCCTATGGTAGAGAGGGATATAACGCAGAACCTACCTGGAATGTAATCGCCTAAGCCTATGGTAGAGAGGGATATGAAGCAGCACCTACCTGGAATGTAATCACCTAAGCCTATGGTAGAGAGTGATATGAAGCAGCACATACCAGGAATGTAATCACCTAAGCCTATGGTAGAGAGTGATATGAAGCAGCACATACCAGGAATGTAATCACCTAAGCCTATGGTAGAGAGTGATATGAAGCAGCACATACCAGGAATGTAATCACCTAAGCCTATGGTAGACAGTGATATGAAGCAGCACCTACCTGGAATGTAATCGCCTAAGCCTATGGTAGAGAGTGATATGAAGCAGCACCTACCTGGAATGTAATCACCTAAGCCTATGGTAGAGAGTGATATGAAGCAGCACCTACCAGGAATGTAATCACCTAAGCCTATGGTAGAGAGTGATATGAAGCAGCACCTACCTGGAATGTAATCACCTAAGCCTATGGTAGAGAGTGATATGAAGCAGCACCTACCTGGAATGTAATCACCTAAGCCTATGGTAGAGAGGGATATAACCCAGCACCTACCTGGAATGTAATCACCTAAGCCTATGGTAGAGAGGGATATGAAGCAGCACGTACCTGGAATGTAATCACCTAAGCCTATGGTAGAGAGTGATATAAAGCAGCACCTACCTGGAATGTAATCACCTAAGCCTATGGTAGAGAGTGATATGAAGCAGCACCTACCTGGAATGTAATCACCTAAGCCTATGGTAGAGAGTGATATGAAGCAGCACCTACCTGGAATGTAATCACCTAAGCCTATGGTAGAGAGGGATATGAAGCAGCACCTACCAGGAATGTAATCACCTAAGCCTATGGTAGACAGTGATATGAAGCAGCACCTACCTGGAATGTAATCACCTAAGCCTATGGTAGAGAGTGATATGAAGCAGCACGTACCTGGAATGTAATCACCTAAGCCTATGGTAGAGAGTGATATGAAGCAGCACATACCTGGAATGTAATCACCTAAGCCTATGGTAGACAGTGATATGAAGCAGTACGTACCTGGAATGTAATCACCTAAGCCTATGGTAGAGAGTGATATGAAGCAGCACATACCAGGAATGTAATCACCTAAGCCTATGGTAGACAGTGATATGAAGCAGCACCTACCTGGAATGTAATCACCTAAGCCTATGGTAGAGAGTGATATGAAGCAGCACCTACCTGGAATGTAATCACCTAAGCCTATGGTAGAGAGAGATATGAAGCAGCACCTACCTGGAATGTAATCACCTAAGCCTATGGTAGAGAGGGATATGAAGCAGCACGTACCTGGAATGTAATCACCTAAGCCTATGGTAGACAGTGATATAAAGCAGCACCTACCTGGAATGTAATCACCTAAGCCTATGGTAGAGAGGGATATGAAGCAGCACGTACCTGGAATGTAATCACCTAAGCCTATGGTAGAGAGTGATATGAAGCAGCACCTACCTGGAATGTAATCACTTAAGCCTATGGTAGAGAGTGATATGAAGCAGCACCTACCTGGAATGTAATCACCTAAGCCTATGGTAGAGAGTGATATGAAGCAGCACCTACCTGGAATGTAATCACTTAAGCCTATGGTAGAGAGTGATATGAAGCAGCACCTACCTGGAATGTAATCACCTAAGCCTATGGTAGACAGTGATATGAAGCAGTACGTACCTGGAATGTAATCACCTAAGCCTATGGTAGAGAGTGATATGAAGCAGCACATACCAGGAATGTAATCACCTAAGCCTATGGTAGACAGTGATATGAAGCAGCACCTACCTGGAATGTAATCACCTAAGCCTATGGTAGAGAGAGATATGAAGCAGCACCTACCTGGAATGTAATCACCTAAGCCTATGGTAGACAGTGATATGAAGCAGCACGTACCTGGAATGTAATCACCTAAGCCTATGGTAGACAGTGATATAAAGCAGCACCTACCTGGAATGTAATCACCTAAGCCTATGGTAGAGAGGGATATGAAGCAGCACGTACCTGGAATGTAATCACCTAAGCCTATGGTAGACAGAGATATGAAGCAGCACCTACCTCGAATGTAATCACCTAAGCCTATGGTAGAGAGGGATATGAAGCAGCACGTACCTGGAATGTAATCACCTAAGCCTATGGTAGACAGAGATATGAAGCAGCACCTACCTGGAATGTAATCACCTAAGCCTATGGTAGAGAGGGATATGAAGCAGCACGTACCTGGAATGTAATCACCTAAGCCTATGGTAGACAGTGATATGAAGCAGCACCTACCTGGAATGTAATCACCTAAGCCTTAGGTAGACAGTGATATGAAGCAGCACCTACCTGGAATGTAATCACCTAAGCCTATGGTAGAGAGTGATATGAAGCAGCACCTACCTGGAATGTAATCACCTAAGCCTTAGGTAGACAGTGATATGAAGCAGCACATACCTGGAATGTAATCACCTAAGCCTATGGTAGAGAGTGATATGAAGCAGCACATACCTGGAATGTAATCACCTAAGCCTATGGTAGAGAGGGATATGAAGCAGCACCTACCTGGAATGTAATCACCTAAGCCTATGGTAGAGAGTGATATGAAGCAGCACCTACCAGGAATGTAATCACCTAAGCCTATGGTAGAGAGTGATATGAAGCAGTAGTAGAAAGCATCCAGGTAGTTCCAGTTGGGCTCCAGCACTGTGTAGATGCCAGCTGGGATTAACATGAAGAAGATGATGTGGATGCCCAGGATGATGCACAGGTGGAGTACCTGGATGTGGAACACCTGCAACAGAAGAGTACAGTTGTCTGGTACAGTTGGTTAAAGTTGGGCTGTCTGATACAGTTGGGTTAAAGTTGGACTGTCTGGTACAGTTGGTTAAAGTTGGGCTGTCTGATACAGTTGGGTTAAAGTTGGACTGTCTGGTACAGTTGGGTTAGAGTTGGGCTGTAAGGTACAGTTGGGTTAAAGTTGGGCTGTCTGATACAGTTGGGTTAAAGTTGGACTGTCTGGTACAGTTGGTTAAAGTTGGACTGTCTGGTACAGTTGGGTTAAAGTTGGACTGTCTGGTACAGTTGGTTAAAGTTGGGCTGTCTGATACAGTTGGGTTAGAGTTGGGCTGTCTGGTACAGTTGGGTTAAAGTTGGACTGTCTGGTACAGTTGGGTTAGAGTTGGGCTGTAAGGTACAGTTGGGTTAAATTTGTGTTGTCTGATACAGTTGGGCTGTCTGGTACAGTTGGGCTGTCTGGTACAGTTGGGTTTGAGTTGGATTGTCTGGAACGGTTGTTCTAAGGTGACCATAGCTACACTTGTGTAGAGGTTAATATGGCTACTGTGACATGGCTAGCTACCTTGTATAGATGGCCCAGCTTGCCGTAGAGCCAGTACAGCAGGTTCCGTGTGGGGATCATCAGCCTCTCCACACAGGCGGTAAACAGCACCAGTGTCAGGGGAATCCCCAGGATGGCAAAGAAAATACAGAAGGCTTTGCCAGCATCAGATAGGGGCGTCACCCGACCGTATCCTGGGGAAACAATAACTGATGTCAGTAAGCAAAGTTATAGTGGTGTCATGAACCACTTTACCTATAATGGTGACATGACCCACTTTACCTATAATGGTGACACGGTCCACCTTACCTATAGTAGTGACATGGCCCACCTTACCTATAATGGTGACATGGCCCACCTTACCTATAGTGATGTAATGCCCCACCTCACCTATGGTGGTGACATGGCCCACCTTACCTATATTAGTGACATGGCCCACCTTACCTATAGTGGTGACATGGCCCACCTTACCTATAGTAGTGACATGGCCCACCTTACCTATAATGGTGACATGGCCCACCTTACCTATAGTGATGTAATGCCCCACCTTACCTATATTAGTGACATGGCCCACCTTACCTATAGTGGTGACATGGCCCACCTTACCTATAGTAGTGACATGGCCCACCTTACCTATAATGGTGACATGGCCCACCTTACCTATAGTGATGTAATGCCCCACCTTACCTATAGTAGTGACATGGCCCACCTTACCTATAATGGTGACATGGCCCACCTTACCTATAGTGATGTAATGCCCCACCTCACCTATGGTGGTGACATGGCCCACCTTACCTATATTAGTGACATGGCCCACCTTACCTATAGTGATGTAATGCCCCACCTTACCTATAGTGGTGACATGGCCCACCTTACCTATAGTGATGTAATGCCCCACCTCACCTATGATGGTGACATGGCCCACCTTACCTATATTAGTGACATGGCCCACCTTACCTATAGTAGTGACATGGCCCACCTTACCTATAATGGTGACATGGCCCACCTTACCTATAGTGATGTAATGCCCCACCTCACCTATGGTGGTGACATGGCCCACCTTACCTATAGTAGTGACATGGCCCACCTTACCTATAATGGTGACATGGCCCACCTTACCTATAGTGATGTAATGCCCCACCTCACCTATGGTGGTGACATGGCCCACCTTACCTATAATGGTGACATGGCCCACCTTACCTATAGTGGTGACATGGCCCACCTTACCTATATTAGTGACATGGCCCACCTTACCTATAGTGGTGACATGGCCCACCTTACCTATAGTAGTGACATGGTCCACCTTACCTATAGTGGTGACATGGCCCACCTTACCTATAGTAGTGACATGGCCCACCTTACCTATAGTAGTGACATGGCCCACCTTACCTATAGTAGTGACATGGCCCACCTTACCTATAGTGGTGACATGCCCCACCTTACCTATAGTGATGTAATGCCCCACCTTACCTATAGTAGTGACATGGCCCACCTTACCTATAGTGGTGACATGGCCAAGCTCACCTATAGTAGTGACATGGCCCAGCTCACCTATAGTAGTGACATGGCCCAGCTCACCTATAGTAGTGACATGGCCCACCTTACCTATATTAGTGACATGGCCCACCTTACCTATAGTGGTGACATGGCCCACCTTACCTATAGTAGTGACATGGTCCACCTTACCTATAGTGGTGACATGCCCCACCTTACCTATAGTAGTGACATGGCCCACCTTACCTATATTAGTGACATGGCCCACCTTACCTATAGTGGTGACATGGCCCACCTTACCTATAGTAGTGACATGGTCCACCTTACCTATAGTGGTGACATGGCCCACCTTACCTATAGTAGTGACATGGCCCACCTTACCTATAGTAGTGACATGGCCCACCTTACCTATAGTAGTGACATGGCCCACCTTACCTATAGTGGTGACATGCCCCACCTTACCTATAGTGATGTAATGCCCCACCTTACCTATAGTAGTGACATGGCCCACCTTACCTATAGTAGTGACATGGCCCACCTTACCTATAGTAGTGACATGGCCCACCTTACATATAGTGGTGACATGGCCCACCTTACCTATAGTAGTGACATGGCCCACCTTACCTATATTAGTGACATGGCCCACCTTACCTATAGTGATGTAATGCCCCACCTTACCTATAGTAGTGACATGGTCCACCTTACCTATAGTGGTGACATGGCCCACCTTACCTATAGTGGTGACATGGCCCACCTTACCTATAGTAGTGACATGGTCCACCTTACCTATAGTGGTGACATGCCCCACCTTACCTATAGTGATGTAATGCCCCACCTTACCTATAGTAGTGACATGGCCCACCTCACCTATAGTAGTGACATGGCCCACCTTACCTATAGTGGTGACATGGCCCACCTTACCTATAGTGGTGACATGGCCCACCTTACCTATAGTAGTGACATGGTCCACCTTACCTATAGTGATGTAATGCCCCACCTTACCTATAGTAGTGACGACTGTACTGGCGAAGAACATGGCCTGGCCGAAGCTCCAGTTGGGCTCTGACTGGGAAACATTTTTGACTGCTGAGACTCCCCTATTGGCGGCGTGGACGATCTCCTCGATAAACTTCTCTAGCTCGGCGTCTGCAAGTAAAAACACATTCCTTTATACTTTATTACAAGGCCGCCTATCTAACATATCAGCTCTCTGTCAAACAAACGTACAACAAAAGCAATGGGGGGGGGCACTCCGGATATATATATATATATATATATATATATATATATATATATATATATATATATATATATATATATATATATATATATTACATGTGTGTGTATGTATATTTGTGTTTGCACGTTTCTAACGTCAATCTCATATTGACTATCCCATCAAAGAACAAAATCGTACATGACAAGACCGAACGAGGGAGGTAATAAAAGAACGCTGACTCAGGTTGCGACAGATGTTGAAATGTACACAGTTAAACTCTGTAGTTGAACAAAACAACAGTGATTTATTAACAGGTTAATCCGCATGGTCTAATCCAGCATGGTCCGAGTTATCGCTCTTGGTGAACTCACTAATGCTGTCCCTGCATCATGTCGTCATATGGTTTGGTGTCGCCAGCTTTAGATTAGATCACTCGAACATCCAGTGGACCCATTGATTTGGTGGGAGTTATTATATATATATATATATATAGGCCTATATATATATATATATATATATATATATATATATATATATATATATATATATATATATAGGCCTATATTTATATATATAGGCCTATATATATATATAGGCCTATATATATATAGGCCTATATATATATATATATAGGCCTATATATATATATAGTCCTATATTTGTACTATTCCGCTGAAACGTTAAACGGAAACCGAAACACTTCTTTGAGGTTAGGTTTAATTCTATGGTTAAGGAAAAGGGGGTGTAGGTTACTGTTTGGGGGGGGGGGGGGGGGGGGGGGGAGAGAGAGATTTTGATCCAGTAATGCTGAACACGTACAGGATCATAATTTACTGTTATAGTTTTTGTTTTGACACGAGTGTTGCTAGACATTGTTTGGACACACTTTAACACATGTGTAGCAATTTACGGTTTAAACAAATTTATTAGGTGAACTTGCTTTTCAAGCTAAGTATTTTAGTATTACGATTATGGTAAGGAATAATATATAACACCACAAGAGAAAGTGCACCATCATTGTCTGATACTTTAGTGTCTTAAATAATTATAACTAATGTGATGGGTTGGATTCAGTTGGTTTTTTTAAATAAAAAAGGAAGGTCTATGTATAACTGAGAGGGAACATTGTGTAGGTCTATGTATAACTGGGAGGGAACATTGTGTGTCGCCCGACCAAGTGACGCCACAGTAACAACAAAGTACCGAATGGGAAACGAACCCTAACCGTAACCCTATACATGAACTTTAACACAAAACTAAAACCTTTAGGTTATGTATTTCTAATCTTCATTAAACCTTTTGTAATGACAAAACTTTTAAAATCGTTCTGCATCGAGATCGAAAAATTGTTTAAATACTTCTAACTAAAACTCCTTGTTTTTTTTTTTTTTTTTTTTTTTTTTTTTTTTTTTTTTTTTTTTTTTTTTTTTGGTTTTCATTTTTTTTTATTTTGAGCTAAACTGGCGCATTTTTAGCGCAATTTCCATTCTGGAGAATTGCGTTTATTAACTCGTCATTTCTGGGAATGGATGAATGAATGTATGGATGTATGAATGTGTGTCCGGGCTTTAAGTCGTATCTCCTCCTCAACGAAGCAATATCGATGACTAGTTACAAAAGCAATTATGTTAAGCAAGTTACGAGGATGAACATAGGCCATAAAAATTACGGGTTTCTTTCATGGATTTCCCGAAAAAGCCAAAAAACCTCGAAAAAATTCAGTTTTTGGCCCATATCTCGGCAACCAGACCACTTAGCGACTTGAAACATGTACCAATCGATTCCTGCCATAATTTAGAACAATATTGCCGAAGAAAGTTTTCAAAAATATCCTTTCGTTCGGTCACAAATTATTTTTTGAATTAATTAAAATTTGGACCGAATTAGTAGGCATTGTATGCAACCACACCACACGCGTCATCACGTTCAATAGCTGCGCCATCACGTTCAATGGCTGCGACGCCACGTTCAGTAGCTAGGCGCGCAATGGTTTTTAGTCATGTTACTCTATTGTAAATAAAACATGTAAAATACTGAAACATTTTTTAATAAAAAACGTTTTAATAACTAACCAATGGTTTTACTAACCCTGCTCTTGATTTACGCTACGACAGAGCTATTTTTAGATAACACAAGGAAATTGCGCTAAAATTGTCACTAGACTTTTTTTAATTACTTGTTTTTCTATCTAAGTACAAACTTAGGTCAGGGGAAATAAATTATAGGACGTGTCGTGTTGTGACCTCCCTTTGTCGTGTGTTAAAATATTGACATCGATTATAAGATTACACCGTCGATTTACGGGATGAGGTGGGGGGAGGCTTCTGAAGCTTTAGAATGTGATATTGGTGAACAGCTGTGAAATAATTATTTTAGTCAATATAAGTCATCACATTATTATTTTTAATGAATCATGGCTGGCTGTAAAATCACATAGTAGAAACTGATGTATACCGCATAATGTAAAAACGTGGGTATAGGAACGTCTATCGTGAATAGAAAAACATGTGAAACTTTCGGTACCATGTACGGAACAAACTGTATTTTAAAATGTAATAAAGTTTTTGGTATCTAGGCGGTTCTTCTAGACCTTATAATGGAAATAGATTTCAAAATGTAATAAAACTCTCGGCAACCAGAAGGAAATTTTGTACGGGGGGGGGGGGGGGGGGGGAATTGAGAAAAACTGGCCTCAATACCAGCATTTATTACAAGCGGGGGGACTATCAACAAGACTATTTATATCCACATTAATAAGCTGGTCGGGGTGGGGATGAAGACACAAGCCACACGCAGAAGACATTCATTAGCGGGGACAAAGGAGAACTTGAGCCGATAGTCCGCTTCGGTATTTGCCTCGACACTTGGCTGCTAACGAGAAGGTCCTAACTAGTGTGCTAGTGTCTCTCAGCCTGATGGTCTCGCTGGGTATCTTTGCTCTGCGGTAGAGACCCATTGGGCCACAGCTTGTTATGTGGTAGAGGGCCATTGGGCCACAGCTTGTTTTGTAATACAGGGCCATTGGGCCACAGCTTGTTTTGTAATACAGGGCCATTGGGCCACAGCTTGTTTTGTAATACAGGGCCATTGGGCATCCAGTGTTAGAGGGCCATAACTTGTTCTGTTAGATGGCCAGTTGGCCCAATCGTGGTTTTCTGCGTTTGATTGCCAAACATCCGTCTAACATTTAGCGCATCAATAATGACACCATGATTGATCCAGTGTGTGTTGTGCTGATCAGAGTTAGCCAACCTGTCAGTCAATGTTTGCTAACACTGTCAGTCTAAATGGCAGGTACAATTTATTTATTTTAAAACTATTTAGCGCAAACCACATACGTCTACATAATGGGGATAGGAAAACCACACACGTCTACATACTGGGGATAGGAAAACCAAGCCATGGTCAGTATAAGTGGACTGCCTCAACATGACACCTCTGGATATGACAAGTATAATGACACTGGCATGACAAGAAGATGACATCAATATCACACAGATATGACATTAATATAACGACTTAATGTGTGTCGTAGATGAAGCACTGTGATGACAATCTATAGCGAATTTTAAATGAACATGGCATTGACATGACATGCATATGACACTGATATGGCATGATTATGACATCGAAACTACATTGATATGACATCCAGACGATAATGATACAACAATGGATGACCCCACAACGTGAGCACATTCACAAAACGGCAAACAAAAAACCTGTCGAGCAATCGATTGTGATCATCAAAAGTCGACATTAAAATGACATTAAAGGCTAGAGAAGAGATTGTATTTAAGTCACGCATTTCTTTGTTAGGATTTGCTATCTGGTCAGCGTTTATCGTCGGGGTGGGGGGGGGGGGGTTGAACTGAAGTGAAATCTGGGGCGTTGTTTTTACAAAATACACCCCCGTTGTTGTCACACCCCGCCACAAAAATATCCTACAGAAGCCATAAGTAGATCACAAAAAGCAGCCCGGGTCACGTGATTGTGGCAGCAAGGTCAACCCAAAAGAAAGTGTCCATGTTTATCATGTGGAAGTCCAAGAGAAGAAGTTAAACACCACAGATGAAGAGTTACGATAACAGGACTTAGTATAGAGCGTATTTATTCACATAGCAGCTTATATTACACGTGCGAGACTCGACCCCCCCCCCCTCACATTTTATTACACGCGTGACTCGACCCCCCCCCCCCACATACATTTACTTACACGTGTGACTCGAGAGCCGCCCACACACCCACATACATTTCCTTGCACGTGTGACTCGAGACACGCCCCCCCCCCACACACACACTACACAAACCACCACCCCAACCATGCTTACGATCGCTTGCAGTCAACAATTATTATTGAACTTCAATAACAGCAACAGTCGACTATTATTACTGAGCTGTTTAGATCTGTTACAGTCAACAATGATTGAACTAAAGATGGTTGTGAGAACTGTGACACAGGTGTGGTTGTGTGAGAAAACTTTACCTGTTATACTGGTGTGGTTGTGTACGATATCCTACCTGTGATACAGGTGTGGTTTTAAGAAAACTTTACCTGTGATACAGGTGTGGTTTTAAGAAAACTTTACCTGTGATACAGGTGTGGTTTTAAGAAAACTTTACATGTGATACAGGTGTGGTTGTAAGAAAACTTTACCTGTGATACAGGTGTGGTTGTAAGAAAAGTTTACCTGTGATACAGGTGTGGTTTTACGAAAAGTTTACCTGTGATACAGGTGTGGTTGTAAGAAAAGTTTACCTGTGATACTGGTGTGGTTGTAAGAAAAGTTTACCTGTGATACAGGTGTGGTTGTAAGAAAAGTTTACCTGTGATACAGGTGTGGTTGTTTAAGAACGAGCTCCTCATCTCTCGGAGGTTCGCCACCAGGCTTGCTTCCTTAGGGCTCTCCAGGTGCATGAAGATGGCCGCCCCTCCACACAGGTAACAGAAGAAAATGGCGATGTGTGTGAACAGTCTGCAGATGGGGTGCGTGGTACACCAGGACAATTTTTTTCTGGACGCCATTCTCGTCAAAGTTCAAAGGTCAGCACACGGGTTACACGTGTGGCAATGTCTTACGTCACCAACAAATAAAACGTGTCCGTGATACTTGTATCCATGGATGTGACCAGGGACTTTATTTATATATCCAGGAATATCCCACTATCCAGTTTGTTGTGTATGTGTGTACAGTTTTGTTTTGATAATCCACAGTGCTGTTTAAATCAACACAAATTGTATCTCTGTGTTGACAGCTCCAACCCCACAGAATCCCAGTCGATCTACTCCCCCGGGCCAACGACAGGATGATCCTACATGATCAGCTAACGGGACACTCGGGTTTCCTTCGAAATGAAAACAGCTTAGTCATTACTTTGGTTATCTACAAGTCATTTACGTCTTTTAACTCTACATTTTCGTCTTTAATCATCATCCGTTGAATTTTGTACTAATAAAATAATTTGACCTCAAACTTAAAGCACTCCCAACATTTTTTTTTAAAATACGACTGTCTTTATTTTACTGAATAACTGGGAATAGTTTCGTTAAAAACGGTCTGGCTAAATTTTGAAAGCGCCAGCAGCTATGGGGATTCAAATTGTAACTCTTCTACGTCCAATTAACAACTGACCAGAGGCAAAGGCATTAAAGAGATATTATAAGGTGTAGACGTCCCCAGCAGACAGATCAATACAAGTTCGATGTGTGATTGGCCGGTGGAGAGTTCCAGGTCGCGACTTGTCAAAGTTGGTTTACATAGGCTTAGGCAGTAGGTGATACAGCTAGATTAATGGATGGGACAGCTAGATTAATTGATGGGAGAACTAGATTAATTGATGGGAGATCTAGATTAATTGATGGGAGATCTAGATTAATTGATGGGACAGCTGGATTAATTCAAGGGACAGCTGGATTAATTGATGGGACAGCTAGATTAATTGATGGGAAAGCTGGATTAATTGATGGGAGAACTAGATTAATTGATGGGAGAATTAGATTAATTGATTGGACAGCTAGATTAATTGATGGGAGAGCTAGATTAATTGATGGGAGAGCTAGATTAATTGATGGGAGATCTAGATTAATTGATGGGAGAACTAGATTAATTGATGGGAGAACTAGATTAATTGATGGGAGATCTAGATTAATTGATGGGAGAACTAGATTAATTGATGGGAGATCTAGATTAATTGATGGGAGAACTAGATTAATTGATGGGACAGCTGGATTAATTCAAGGGACAGCTGGATTAATTGATGGGACGGCTAGATTAATTGATGAGAAAGCTGGATTAATTGATGGGAGAACTAGATTAATTGATGGGAGAATTAGATTAATTGATTGGACAGCTAGATTAATTGATGGGAGAGCTAGATTAATTGATGGGAGAGCTAGATTAATTGATGGGAGATCTAGATTAATTGATGGGAGAACTAGATTAATTGATGGGAGATCAAGATTAATTGATGGGAGATCTAGATTAATTGATGGGAGAACTAGATTAATTGATGGGACAGCTGGATTAATTCAAGGGACAGCTGGATTTATTGATGGGACAGCTAGATTAATTGATGGGAGAGCTAGATTAATTGATGGGAGAGCTAGATTACTTGATGGGAGAGCTAGATTAATTGATGGGAGAGCTAGATTAATTGACTGGACAGCTGGATTAATCGATGGGAGAGCTAGATTAATTGATAGGAGAGATAGATTAATTGATGGGAGAGCTAGATTAATTGATAGGAGAGATAGATAAATTTATGGAGCCGCTGGATTTAAGAGTTGGGTAGCTCGATTAATTAATTTGGACAGCTGAATTAAGTTTTGTTACAGCTATATTAATTGATGACGCATCTTGATTATTTAATGAAATAGCTAGATTAATGTTTTGTACAGCTGGATTAAGTGTTGAGGCATCTGGATTAATTAATGGGACATCTGGATTAATTGACGCGACCGCTAGATTAATAGATTATACATTTAGATTAATTGATTATACATTTAGATTAATTGATTATTCAGTAAGAATAATTGATGAGACGGCTAGAGTAATTGCTGAGAGGGCTGAATAAAATGGAGGCATACACTATAGTCAGAGAGGCAAGGACTAGAGTGAGAGAGCCACACACACACACACACACATATATATATATATATATATATATATATATATATATATATATATATATATATATATATATATATATATATATATATATATATATATATATATATATATATATGGGTTGAGAGACGTCTGGGGTTGGCTTTTTAAAGGGAAGCAAACAGATAGTTTGGATACCGCTGGTCTAAGCCATGCACTATAAAAACCATATGACCAGCGTTGTTGGCGCAATATTTGTTTTAACGTCAGAAGTTTAAACTTTACTATTCAGTTACTTCTATTTTTTTTATCTGTTATCGCTCATTTTTTGTATGACTCCATTTTTTTTAAATTCTCAAGTTTAAAACTAAATGGGAGATAACCGTACAGCCGAAAACAATAATTAGAATTAACATAAATGCCACCGATGGCGTGAGAGGTAGAGACTAAGAACGAATAAGCCTCAAAGTTTTAAATAATACAATGGCTGCTGTTTAGAGTGTGGTTAGTTATCTACATCTGATGCGGTACCATCTGCTTATAAGCTGGGGTAAATGTCGATAATAACAGCGATTAGCTGCCATATTTAATTGACAATAAAAGGAACAGTGTAGTAGGAATAACGGCCGTGTTCTTGGTGGTAAATGTGTGTTTAGGGTTGTATTGGTGATACAGGGAACATCGTGATACAGGGGACATCGTGATACAGGTGATACAGGGAACATCGTGATACAGGGGACATTGTGATACACGGGACATCGTGATACAGGTGATACAGGGAACATCGTGATACAGGGGACATTGTGATACACGGGACATGGTGATACAGGTGATACAGGGAACATCGTGATACAGGGGACATCGTGATACAGGGGACATCGTGATACAGGGGACATCGTGATACAGGGGACATCGTGATACAGGGGACATCGTGATACAGGGGACATCGTGATGGGGGGGGGGGACGTCGTGATACAGGGGACATCGTGATACAGGTGATACAGGGGACATCGTGATACAGGGGACATCGTGATACAGGGGACATCGTGATACAGGGGACATCGTGATACAGGGGACATCGTGATACAGGGGACATCGTGATACAGGGGACATCGTGATACAGGGGACATCGTGATACAGGGGACATCGTGATACAGGGGACATCGTGATACAGTGGACATCGTGATACAGGGGACATCCTGATACATTGTGATACAGGGGACATCGTGATACAGGGAACATCGTGATACAGGGGACATCCTGATACATTGTGATACAGGGGACATCGTGATACAGGGAACATCGTGATACAGGGGACATCCTGATACATTGTGATACAGGGGACATCGTGATACAGGGGACATCGTGATACAGGAACATCGTGATACAGGGGACATCGTGATACAGGGGACATCGTGATACAGGGGACATCGTGATACAGGGGACATCGTGATACAGTGGACATCGTGATACAGGGGACATCGTGATACAGGGGACATCGTGATACAGTGGACATCGTGATACAGGGAACATCGTGATACAGGGGACATCGTTATACAGGAGACATCGTGATACATGGGACATCATGATACAGTAACAAGGGAGTTTTATGACCTAGGGGACAATGCTGGGCACTTGGGGACAGGGGTGGACAACTGCAACTAACTTTTATTGTACCCCCACTCCCTCCCCCCTCAGCCCATCGCCTAGGTTACCAACACATATTGTGGCACACGCCCAAAATGGATACACCAGCCCACACAACTACTACTAGGATTACGTTTACTACAGGGCATCTGTAAACATAGGGGTGAGAGGGGTATGGGGGGGGGGAGTGGGAAATAATCAAACGGCTACTAAACCCCACCGTTACATAACTATTCTACTGTAAAATCTGACATGACATGCAACAGATTGTCCCAGCTAGATTAAACTAGGCTCCCCACGGCAGCCCTCCTGGTGGAGGCAACACCCTACAACACAGTGTTGTAGTGGTGTTGACCGTGATAATATGGTATGGTTTGTGTTAATATTCTGGTGTTGTTCATATTAATATTCTGGTGTTGTTCATGTTAATATTCTGGTATTGTTCGTGTTAATATTCTGGTCTTGTTCGTGTTAATTTGTGGTGTTGTTCATGTTAATTTTCTGGTGTTGTTCATGTTAATATTCTGGTATTGTTCGTGTTAATATTGTGATGTTGTTCATGTTAATACGTTGGTGTTGTTCATATTAATATTCTTGTGTTGTTCAGTATTACACCAACAGTATCCCAAGTATAGACCCCAGTATTACACTAACAGTATCCCAAGTATAGACCCCAGTATTACACTAACAGTATCCCAAGTATAGACCCCAGTATTACACTAACAGTATCCCAAGTATAGACCCCAGTATCCTAAGTATAGACCCCAGTATTACACTAACAGTATCCCAAGTATAGACCCCAGTATTACACTAACAGTATCCCAAGTATAGACCACAGTATCCCAAGTATAGACCCCAGTATTACACCAACAGTATCCCAAGTATAGACCCCAGTATCCCAAGTATAGACCCCAGTATCCCAAGTATAGACCCCAGTAAATGCCAAGCCTGTACATCACGAGACCTGGTTTGTTTACTGAACCTCAGCTAACACAAACTAAGATAAGATACGGGCCACAATTGGCTCAATTATATCAAGGTAAATATCAGCGATGATGTCACTTCCGGTCTATTGTTATGTCATATTCCGTAATTTTTATAATCAGTCATATTCAGTCTATTGTTATGTCATATTCCGTAATTTTTATAACCAGTCATATTCAGTCTATTGTTTTAACCAGTCATAATCAGTCGTTATATTCAGTCATATTCAGTCTACTGTTAAAATCCGTCCTATTCAACCTATTGTTAAAATATCTAAGACAGCCTGCGCTCTGGAATGAAAAAAAAATGCGGTGAGCATCACAAAAACAGTATTTGTTCAACGGCCGAAATCAAAACTGACATATCAATTCCCGGCATTACGCAACACTTTCCCTCGCGCGCTGGCTAACCAGACCGTAACAGCCGACAATGAACAATATTTGGCTGGTGTGATAAAAACACCCACCCTACACAATAATGGCCTATCCACACGAAACAATCCGACTTAACAAAACTGGACTGTTACACAACAAAGAATGCCGTTGTATGGACTGCTGTTTTGGGGGTCACGAGTTTTCAAATCTAGGTCATGTTGTCACGAGTTCGCGTTTTTTAAAGGCATCCCGAATAAAGAAAGTGGGAAAGGGTGGGAGTCGGATGCATTCGCGGGTGACCTTCAGCACTGTTGCCAGCGAAAACTTTCAACTGGCCAACAAACTGGGGATCTGTTACACCAGCAAAAAAAAATGAAAAATATTCTGAGGGAACAAATTTATTTTTTAGTGAGATTTATTCATGTATTCACATTTCACTGTGGCAGAATGAATTTGTTCACAGTTCACTGTGGCAGAATGAATACGTTCACCAGAAGGACGGGCTAGTCAAAAGATCACCCCGGCATTTGTTTTGTGTTGGCGTGCACAAAGTGAACATTTTACCTACATGTTACAAAATGGTCACACATCATGTCCAGAATTGTATGGTCCAGCAAGCTAACCAATTAGGCTTTTGTAGAGAACACGTTCACGAATCATTAAATAAATTGTAAATGTCTGTCATCAAAAATCGTACTTAGATCTTTTTATTGAATTTCAGTCCACATTTTATGGATGGAAAACGTTACATTTAGAGGGGTTGAAAATATCTAATAAAATGCGTCAATTTGGAAGGAAATAAAACTTAATTTACTAAGAAAAAATGTTTTATCGACTTTTAAAAAAAAAAAAAACTGAAGTACAGCAGCACCATTTTAACACGAACGCTAACGGTCGTTTTAAGTTATGTTTATAGTCGAGAAAGAAAGCCAAAACCCAGGCATCAAAGTGTCAGAAGTTGAGGACGTCTGGTGCTTGGGCTACGTTTGGTGAGAACCGCTGGTTATAATACAGTCTTTATGACGGCTGACATTTCGGTTTTGGAAATTTTTAAACTATTTCTGACTTTAAGACAGCGGACATTTTCTTAAAACACGGCACAGATTATTGTCTTTAAAACAGAAGAAATTTGTCTTGAAAAACTTCTGAAGTTGCAGTCTCCAAAACCAACCGAGACATTTATCTCGTGCATATTGTGCAGAGCAGAGACGCAAAGTATCACGTCAAAAGAACGGTTATATCAGAGTTTCTACCAGGCATCTCTTCGGGGGGGGGGGGGGGGGGAGCTTCGGGTCCCCCCCCCCCCCGAAATTTTTTTACCGCCCCCCCCCCCATCGAAATGAAATTTATATAATTTATATAGAAAATATATACTTTTAACAGTGTCCGCCCCCCCCCCCGGAGAAAAAAGTCTGGAAGAAACACTGGGTTATAAGGTCTAAGATCACGTCAATAGAACGGTTGTATGGTCTAGTATCACGTCAATAGAACTGTTGTATGGTCTAGTACCACGTCAATAGAACGGTTATATGGTCTAGTATCACGTCAATAGTCTAGTAGACTAGTAGTAGTATCACGTCAAAAGAACGGTTGTATGGTCTAGTATCACGTCAAAAGAACGGTTATATGGTATAGGATCACGTCAATAGAACGGTTGTATGGTCTAGTATCACGTCAATAGTCTAGTAGACTAGTATCACGTCAACAGAACGGTTATATGGTCTAGTATCACGTCAATATTATAGTCCAATATCACGTCAATAGAACGGTTGTATGGTCTAGATCTAGTATTATATTACCAGAACAATAGAATGGTCTAGTGATTATCACATCGCCTGTCACTTGTCATTTGATAAAATAACTCCAGTCACTTTATGTCGGTTAAACTCCCGAGTCGGGACCGGTGACGTCAAAGTAATTAATCTCCAATGAATTAATTAGTTATCAGCACGGACCTACCAATCAACGGATAATCGAATAGTCAGCACCATCACAGACCTACACCACAACACACAGCACACAAACACGGCTATCTCCAGCCGGCAGACGGGAACACAGTACGTCCTGCCGCAGCACGGATTGTGATTTTTGTTCGGACACCACCTGGCGTCCCGCGTCACGGCGGGCCGGTGAACTGTGTTGCGCCATATCTCTCACAATGCGACGTTCGCGTAACGCGAGCGTCGACACCCGTTGCTCCCGTCAGATGATTTAGCCAAACATTGATAAAGTAATTTGATAAACAGACGACACCGGATGTGATTTGATTATTGTTTCACTCATCGCGAGGTCATCAGCTAAAAATAGAACTATGGGGCCAGCACTCTGTCACCTACATAATGGAAGGCGGTGTGTCCATTAATTTAATGGAGCTACTGGTTTTTATTCCCGGCAGAGTTTTCAAACCACAGCTCACATGGGCCTGGTCGTACATCAATCAGTCTTCTGGTGGTTAAGGGGGAGGGGCTGACTTTGGTGGTGTGTGGCTTATGGGGGGTAACTTTGGTGACAATGTGTTACGTGTGGGGGTGGCAAAATTTTACGTGAAGAGGTGACATTGGTGACAATATGTAAAATGTTACGTATACGGGTGACATTGGTGACAATAAATTAGTGTGGGGTGACATTGGTGACAATGTGGAACAACAGGTGGTGTTGAGATGGGGGCAGGGGCGGATTAAGCTTGGGCGGGGCCCCGGGCTGAAACTTTTTGGGGGCCCCTGATTGTATATATATATATATATATATATATATATATATATATATATATATATATATATATATATATATATATATATATATATATCCTAATCAGCATACCATTCAAGATATTAATGGTTTATTTATAACTTATAGGAACATTCGACACAGATATTTACAAAACTGCTAATTTAAAAAGCTGTCAATTGTGTTCAATGAGCGGTAAATTGGATACAAACATCTAACCTTCTTCTTCTTCTCTTCTTCTTCGATCATAATTTTAGTGTTGGAAGGGATCCCCTCCAATACAATTAAGCATACGTGTCAACTGGTTAGGCGCCATTGAGACCATTGACTCTGATTTCAGCCTGCTTTTCTTTTTTACTTTCTCGTATATACGAAGCATAGAGAAAGTCTTGTAATTGTGCAAAAAAAAAATCGAGATTTTTGCAAATCGCGACGTATTACACCTCACTGATACGGAAAAACATAATTTTGCAATCTTGTCCGTATATCTGTGTGTCTGTGTATCTGTGTGTCTGTGCGTGTGTAGCCACGATAACTTGAGTACCGTTAAAGCTAGGTTGATGAAATTTCATATATAAGTATTATATAAAATTTGTAGATCCTTTTCAACTTTTCAGCGATTTCCGATAACCGGAAGTGGTACTTTTTCTACTTTGAATTTTTTAAAAGCCTATAACTGGAGTACTTTTTTAGATAGATAAATGAAAATTTCACATACAAGTAAAAGATATAAATTTTAATAATGAAATAACACACGGGAACAACTACGTTTGTCTTCGTTCAAAAATACGCTATGATAAAATAAAACTGCTGTTACCAGATCAAACTAATCAAGTCTCAATGTTCATGTGCTATTGATGGAACAGAACACATTCAACTGTAAATATTGGTAATGCTCAATCTATCACTGTAATACAAACTGGGATGCACACCATGAGTCCAGGGACAATGGGCAGGGTTCAGGGCACTTGTATCTCAAGTCATGTGGAATGATTCATTCTTTGTTGAAATAGAAGCATGTCGAACAGGCAAGGTATGAACTATTGCATTCAAATTATAGCAAACCTAAATGGCTATCTGTTTGCTAATATTAAAACTGAAACAAAATAACCTGCTCACAGTTAAACATTGAGCCACTTAATTCAAGACTATCGTACCTCGATTAACGAAAGCCCCAACTTCTACTTTAAGCAATCACTTTTATTTTATTTTTACTTTCTCGTATATACGAAGTATAGAGAAAGTCTTGTATCCGTGCAAAAAAAAAAAAGATTTTTACAAATCTCGACGTTTTACACCTCACTGATACGGAAAAACATAATTTGGCAATCTTGTCCGTATGTCTGTGTGTCTGTGTATGTGTCTGTGTGTGTGTGTGTGTAAACACGATAACTTGAGTACCGTTACAGCTAGGTTGATGAAATTTCATATATAAGTATTTTATCAAAATCGTAGATCCGTATCAACTTTTATGCGATTTCCGATAACCGGAACTGGTACTTTTTCTACTTTGAATTTTTCAAAAGCCTATAACTTGAGTACTATTTCAGATAGATAAATGAAATTTCACATGTAAGTACAAGATCTAATTCTCTACCATCTGTCAAATTGTGAGTAATTTCTGTTGACCGGAAGTAGTAACTTATGCTATTTCCGATTTCTCAAAAAACGCATGTAAATGTATAAAGTACTAATAATATTGCGCACTATTATGCGCATTTTATTTGGCCTTCACTTGGTGTGCAATCCTTTTTTTTTACGAGATTTTATTCTATTTTAAAAACTTTAAGTATTTAAAATAGAGTTCCCATCCCCTGTTGTTTTATATAAGAAAATTCGAGAAAGTTTAGGGGAGATCACTCCCGGTTTATTTTAATTTGTTTCCACAGCCTTTGCCCAACCAAGAACAAACTATAGCAGATGTTTGATTTTGGAGTTATCTCTCCTAGAATAGTGACTACCCCCAGCTAACGAGCCTCATCTGCCCGAGGATTTGAACTCGAGACATTTCGGTTAAGCATCCACGAGCTTTACCGACTCGACCACGCCGATCCCCAAACATCTAACCAATATGTACTCATTTTTATCATGATTAAATGTTGTCCCCCACCCACTACCACGACACACACACTAACAACACCCAGGCGAGATCCATCAGCTACGTCAGTAGCACTAAATTTATGACTGTTTAGTTTAGGCCTGTAGAAGTTTCCGACCTCTGTCCCGCGATCTAGCCGGGTACCAGACGGTAAGACGATGTCCTGCGTCTGGTGGTGGGGGAAGTAAAGCCTGGATAGAGCCTACAGATGGATAAGCGACCATCATGTAGTGTTTCAAACCAACATCTCAGTGAGACTGATTCAGTCCACAATTTGCCATTTAGTTGAAGTTCACTACGTCGAGACCTCCCTGGCTAATGGGAGTCAAACTCCTGAGCCTGTATATCCGTGTCACGATAGTTATTGAACTGTAATTCAAGTTTTTATATTGGGCATGAGGAAGCTGGAAATGCAGACTAACCTTGAACAAACGTAAATATCCATGAGAATATTATGTCGTTACAGAGCAGACGATAAAGACTGGTGGCACTTGTTTGATTATAGACGCAAAAAGAAAACAAAGAATATCAAACCACATTATGTAGGAAATTATCAATAACATACAGGGGTTAAACTAGGCCCAACTAAAACAGTAAGCACGGTATTAGCGTAAGAAAACCCACACCTCCACCCTCTTAGGTGTCATTCATTTATGAGGCCCACAAAAAGTTGGATTTCCACTGGCGTCCATTTAAAGAACGTCATCCCTGGCATGTAAACGCCATATTAACGTTCACTAAAAGTAAAGGCCTATAAATGTTTTTAAAAGTTTAAATCATACAGTATTCACATGTCATTTATGTGTCAGAATTCGACCGCTGTTTTTGTTTTTGATCTCTAAAATCAACCCAATTTATTGTTATAAGCAAACGCTGTCTGGGCGGGTATTTATACTAAAGTGTGTGCTCGAGTTTGATATTTTGATCAAAAATTGAAATAAACTTGTCATTCAGATGTTAAAACATTGGCTTTTATAGTAAAAAACTCCAAAAAAAAAAACCCAAAGATTTCACGTTAAAGGGAAATTTACTATGATTGAAAAAGGAAATTTGGGGGCCCCTAAAAATCGGGGGCCCCTGGCTGCAGCCCCCTCAGCACCCCCCTTAATCCGCCACTGGGTGGGGGGGTGATTAAATAACTTTGTCGGTTTCAAAGATGAGAATAGTTCATTTTCTTTAAAATAATTGGGTGTTTTTTTTTTTTTTTTTTTTTTTTTTTTTTTTAATGGAGATGCTTAAGCGTTGTGACGTCGTTTGGTGGACAATAATTGCAAAACGTCACTTCTGGGCACCATAAATAGCAGCAGGGATCGTAAGAAAAAGAAAAAAAAAACTGCCCTTGCTAACAATTAAAATGACGATGGCTCAGTGCAGTACAGTAGTTGCTGTGATGGCAATATGCACACTTATGGGGTTTTCTTTTTTTTTTTAAATAATTTTTAAACAAGTGTTTCCACTCGGTTACATCCCTTGTGATGTATTACTGGAGTTCTCTCCCTTGCTGTAACAGCGGGAACAAGACACAGCTCCGGTCGATTCACTAATGGTGATTTCAATCCACAGCTGGTAGCAGGTTGTTGTTTTTTTAACGGTTAATATATTAATGTTTAAATTTAAAATTAATCAACGGTAAAAGAGGTGAATCGTGTGCGGGACAGGAGTAATGACCTCGTATTTTTAAGTGATTAATTTAACCACGGTAATAAGGATTTGTTCAGGGGAATGGGGATAGCAAATAAATACTTTATTTTTATATAAGTGGTTGATGAAGCATTTATAACTGTATGCCTACTACTGTAATTTATAAAATTCTTATTTATTCAACGCGTTAAATTATATATATATCTATATATATATATATATATATATATATATATATATATATATATATATATATATATATATATATATATATATATATATATATATATATAGCCTGTATATATATATATATATATATATATATATATATATATATATATATATATATATATATATATATAGCCTGTATATATATGCTGTACATGTCCTAAAAAATGTGGAAACCTCGAATGTTTATTAAACTTCACCTTCAGATTTGTTCCATTAAAAAGGAGTTCTTGTGTGTGTGTTTTTACCGTTTTAAAACATAAAATCTGAAGACACATAATTGATATTTCAATGGCAAAGATCAATAATATTGCCAGAGCCGAGATGACCATTGAACGAAACAGCAAGGGCTGGGGGAGAAGTCTCATCAGGGCCTCTCCACACAAGCGAGACGTCATGACGTCATGACGTCCTTTACGTTTGTGA